TTCGTTGAAACTCGCATGATTTTTCACCTTTGGACGCTCACAACTCCTTCCAGAAAGTCGTTCGGCAGCCAAGAAACATATTTTTGTAATCAACGTATGAAGGCGAATCCGATGATATACAGCTTGTTTAGATTGGCTGAGTTAAGTTCTGACCATTTCCTGCTAAGCATTAAGCTATGCTATGCTTAGCATATAAATGAGAGGAGAAAAGAGCTCGCTTGACACGGCCACCGGAACTAAGACACTTGAAGCAAATTTCTTTGTTTTTTCTTGAGAATAAATTGTGGCGTATGCCTTGAGGCTACGACCAGAGTTGATCGTGCCAGCACTCGACCTGGCATTTGAGTTTTTACCACCTCCTCGTAAGAATTAGGCAGCGTATTGCGGATTTTAAAGAGACGCTCCGCAGTAACCTTCACTTCCAAAGTGAAGTTATCTACATCAACTTCTTTTCAGTTGCTCATCTATCATTAGTGGAGTGTGCCTTGCTTCTGTTTCGCTAGCCTTCACTATTATTTATAGTTGAATACTCTGACTGCTCACTGCTATCGTGCGTGTAAGCTGCCTTGTAAGCTGCTTATTTATCTGATTTGCCAAATATACAGATTATGTTGCCCGCAGTTCAGAAGCCATTCTACATCCTCAACCTTATATGGTGAATTGAATGTCGTACTGTGTCGTTAACAAAAAGTAGACTAGAACTAGTCCTAGAGTAGTTGCGTCACTCATTAATTACCTTAATCAAAGAACTTTCAGTGCTTGGATTCGTGCGCGAGGGGTGACCAGCATCGCCGCGTGTACTGCGTGAATAACGCAGGAAAACGCGCCGCTCCACGAATGTGCGATGCAGTGCAAGCTCCGCCCAATCGACGTCCTTGTGATATTTCCAAATGCCCATATGAATGGGTACCTGGGCCATGGAATACGGTATGTTACATCTCTGGTCGTTTCCGAAGTTCTCACAATAGCTCTGCTACGGTACACACTAGCTGTCTCTGACGCGCTTTAGTCGGAAAGCTAGCGTAAAAGCAACGCAAGGACGTGCGTTGCGTTCGCGCCAGAGCATTTATGGAAACCTCTGCCAGAGACATACCGTAGCTCCCTATTTCCTTCATTGAAAAATATGTTTTTAGTGCTCAAAGACTTGTGGTAAGGGTACCCAATTTCGCTTCGTAGAATGTCGTGTAAAAACTCCAAATGCTACCAAGTACAGTGAGCCTGCTGTGCCTAAAGTGAGTTATTTTACTTTTATCCCGGCGCAGTCCTGGATTCCCAATTCCAGGAGAAATGTGACGCGTTACCAATGCCAACGGAAGCACAAGAGTGTAATTTAAATGCTTGCGAATCCGAGTTCCAATGGCAAATTGGCCCATGGGGAGCGGTGAGTTGACTTCTCAGCTTGAATGTGATGAGATAGAGTAAACTCTTCCCTTCAGTGTTCCCAAACTTGCGGTCAAGGCGTTCGCCGTCGAAAAGTTCGATGCTATAGCCGTCAGGGTGTACTCGTTTCTCGTAGTAAATGTGAACAGAATTCACCTCGTCCTCGTCGAACTCAAACTTGCTTCCAGAGGAACTGTAAGCTGCTTCTCGCACTTGATTATTCTAGAAAATATATAACTGTAAAGACAAAGAGGGTGGTAGCTTTTATCTTTTTGGCTTTTGAAGACTGAGCAGATAGCGGGGTGATCAGGACATCCATCCTGATCGCCAATAATTGAACAATACAGCAAATAGGCGATAAGTACTACAATATGGAGGATACAATAAATATGGAAGATGACAGCGTCAAAAGCGTCCTTGATGAGGATTACATAGAGTATGATGAGATGCCCTTATGTACAACGTTAAAT